GGGAGCCCGTTCCGTGTTGTCACCGACCATCGCTCGCTCTGCTGGCTTGCGAACCTCAAGGACCCGTCAGGACGCCTCGCTCGATGGAGTCTCCGACTACAGGAGTTCGACATGACTGTGGTCTATAAGTCAGGCTGCATGCACAGCGACGCCGACTGCCTGTCCAGAGCCCCCGTCGAAACGCCTTCCGGCAGCAGCGACGACGATGACGACGAGTGCTTCCTAGGCGCAGTGAATACCGACGACATGACACGACGTCAAAGAGACTATCTTGAGTTGCGCGCTCTAATCGAGCACCTCGAAGGACGAGGGGGGACTGTCCCCCGTGTCTTCTCGAGAGCCCTGCCGACCTTCGTCCTCCGACAAGGTGTGCTTTACGAGGATAACTTCCTGAGACAACAGCTCATCATGGCTGCGGGTAATCCCTACCGACCTTAAAGCGGAGATCTTCCAAGCCTGCCACGGCGACCCGACGTCCGGACACCTTGGTTACAGCCTTACGCTGGCCCGAATTCGTGAAAGGTATTACTGGTCCAAGCTGCCGAAGAACGTTCACCTCTACACCCGATCGTGCCACGAGTGCCAGCGACGCAAGAAACCGCCGACGAAGCCGGCAGGTCTCCTGCAGCCAGTTGCTCTCCCGACCGCACCGTTTCAGCAGATCGGAATGGATCTACTTGGTCCCTTCCCACCATCGACGCAAGGAAACCGATGGATTATCATCGCTACAGATTATCTCACACGGTACGCCGAAACGAAAGCCCTTCCTTCAGGGACTGCTGTGGAAGTCGCCAAGTTTTTTATTGGGTCCATCGTCCTCCGGCACGGCGCTCCCGAAGCCCTGATCTCAGATCGTGGATCATCATTCATGGCCCAACTGACGGAAGAAGTCCTTCGTCTCAGCCACACCAGCCATCGTCGCACCGCGGCGTACCACCCGCAGACCAACGGGCTGATGGAGCGACTCAACAAGACCATCGCCGACATGACCTCCATGTACGCCGACGTGGAGCAGAAGACAGGGGACGAGGTATTGCCGTACGTCACATTTGCCTACAGCACGGCCGTGCAAGAGACCACCGAAGTGACACCGTTTCAACTGGTTCATGGTCGCAAAGTATTGACGATACTGGACGCTATGTTACCCCACGAACTGGCTGTCGACGGAAGCAACGACGCCCAAGTGATTTCTCAACGGGCAGAAGAAGTCCGTCAGCTCGCCAGACTTCGTATTCAAGCCCAACAACGTGTTGACACTGGCCGCTACAACCTTCGCCGTCGTGACGTCCACTTCCAGCCCGGAGACAGGGTATGGGTGTGGACACCAATACGGCGCCGCGGTCTCAGCGAGAAGCTTCTGAAGCGCTACTTTGGACCCTACAAGGTTCTTCGCCGTCTCGGTGACTTAAACCACGCGGTGCTTCCCGACGGAACTCGACCATCAAGGCGACGTCAACCGCGACCCGAAGTAGTCCACGTCGTGCGCCTCAAGCCATATTACGACCGATAGAACCGATAGATAGAAGGATTTTGTTTTCGGTTTGTGCTGCATCGGGATGATGCGCTTTTAAGGCGGGGGGGGGGGGGGGGGGGATAATGCCGCGCGCAGGGTCACGGACTTGTAGAAGATTCTTGTTTATTCTTGCTGCAGACATACCTTTTTTCGTTCATCCCTGATTTTGTTGTTCTAGAAAGTGCGTGTTCATTCTCGCCCCGAGCGCGCTACGCTCGAACCTTTTCCGCCGAATCTTCGAGATAGTGACTCACTCTAGATAAGAGCCACCCGGAACCTTGTCGAGTCAGTTTCGCCCCAGCGTTCGACTCTGCTCTTTCGCCGACTTCGACGCCCGCGACGCTCTACTGTTATCTTTTGTTTCCTTCTTTATTTTGGGCACAAGTTCGCCCGATTAAATGTTTAGTTTACTCAGTTATTTGACGCCTCATCACTTGTCATTCGTGATAATATTAAAAAGAAAAGGGCAAGCCGAGTGCAGCGCGTTGCCCAGGAACAGTTACGCGGGGGAGATGGCGAGGGCTTTTCCGTTCCGGGAACCGGTTTCTCCACGGGAGACGGCCGCCAAAAAGGAGTAAATAAACAGAACCATTTTGCTTTTCACCAGAGTTTGACGTCCTCTCTTTCTCGTCGTCAAAAACACGAACAGCAACAGCAACTCACATTGCGCGTCTCTCCGCCCGGCGATGGGGAGAGGGTGCAGGGCCGCCAGACCCTTCTCCAGCGGTCGGCGGGAGAGAGTGGTGTGTGGAAGCCCATCAACTAAGGCTGGGCCATTGCTCGATTAACCTTCCGATTAATCGATTAAGGCTTTAATCGCGATCAATTTTTTTTAGCCGGTTAATCAGTTTTCTAATCGGTACCCAAAAAGAGGTCGATTAAACGCACGCACGGCTCTATCTTGTACGACCTACCCAAACAAAAAGTTTGGACAGGTCGTCCTGCCCAAACTAAAAGTAACGACACTTGGCCATATTGTGTCTTAATATCAAGGTTGCCAGTTATCTGAAGCTTTATCTGAAATCACAGGAAACGCCTTTTCCGTCATCCATATATGCTTAAACATTTCGTGACACAGCAAATCAATATTGCGTGACCTTCCTAACACCGAATCTAATGCTGAAGATGTCGCACTTTTGTATCATGACGATCGGCACGAGCCTAAATGGCGGCGCCCACAACAATGCCGGGAACGGAGTGCCGATACTCTAAGCTCAGCTCATTTAGTGGCTCTAGGTTGAACTATATGTATCATCAATTGTAAACGTCCTTGGCGGCGTGTACCAGAGTGTAAAATAAGTCTTCAAAGGCAAGCCAAGTGGTTGCATTCTTCTCAATATATTATAAAAGTCAACACAACCGATTAATCGATTAATTAACCGACTAAAGGGTGGCGATTAATCGGGTTAAAATGTTTAATCCACGCCCAGTCCTGCCATCAACCTGTTAGCGCAGAGAAAATGGCCGGCATAGCCATTTTCTCTCCGCTCGGGGGCCGTTTGCTTGTTACCACCGCCGCCGCCGCGGATGTCTCGAGCGGTCCGGTTTCCTTCAGGAAGGTGTGCATGGCATTGAGGGCTCGCTTCTTGGTCTGTTTTGATCCGTGCAATTTCTTCCTTAATTCCGCAGGTGAACCCCAGTTCGGCGTTGGCCGCCTTCAGCACCGCTCGAGCGCCATCGTGTTCAGCGCATTCAAGGAGATGGTGGCCGGTGTTAGCCTAGCCGCAAGCCCGGCAGTCGGGGTCAGCGTCCCACCGTATGTAGTTCCTGCGCACCGGGATCATGGCACTGTGGCTCTTGAGATGGTGGATGACCGCCGCTGTCCGGGCTTGTTCCTTGTGCCTCTTCGTCCGTCCGGCTTCAGAAGCATCCAGCGAGTGAAAAATACGCCAAAGACGCCGCCGCGACGGCATCATGAACGAAACTGCGACTGTGCTTAGGATTTCTCAACGGTGGCTGGTGCTGCTTGCGAGTTCGTGGTTTTCGCTAAACGTGCTTATTGAGACTGTGTATGTGTCCGTGAGGTGCACCTGCTCGGTTTTATTAGCCGAGCAGATTATCGGTTTATTACCGCACATCAGGAATTTACTCAGCGGCATTGTGAGTACTCTAAACGATATTTTTCTTTGTGATCAAGAAGTCAATTGTCCCTATTTAATATGGTCTTTTTTGTCTACATCTGCTTGCGCCCTTGTTTGAACAAACGTTGGTTTTCATCGTCTTTTTGAGTTATAATATGCGTGTAACACTAGATGACCGCAATTAATTTTCAATACTGTTTTGAACTGCATTTTTGCCTATAATTCACAGTCATTTAGGCGTCTAAAGGGTTTATGGGCTAAGGGGTTTTGGCTGTAGGGTCTGACGGGTTGATGGGCTGAAGGGTTTTTCTGTTGGGCATCCCTGAAGGTTTTCTCTGTAGGATGATTCTGAAGGGTTTTATAGGCCTGCGAGGTCCCATAATCCTTCAATGCCGATGGGCTCTTTAGATTTATTTTCAATAGGGCGGAGATGCGTTTGATAGGGAAACCAAAACTGAGTATGAAAGGCTTCCAAACCGAGTAACTGTTTGGAACTCTGTATATCTGTGGGTGCACATCATTTCTTTACAAGAGTGCTGGTTTAGTTGTTTTTGACGATAGCCTGAATGATTGCAACATGTTGAAAACATACCTCGAAATTCGCAAACTCAAAACAAATAACAAAATATTTTTCTCCTAATTATATTAAACGCTATTGCCCATTTCCATAAAACAAAAATACATGAAACTTTTATTGTTCGATGCGTACTTTTTGTGAGAGCGAGTTTGCCAGCTTACCATAACACCCTGTGTACGGTCCCCTCCCCTTTACTTCCTTCATTATGAATACATCATAGTTCCACCCACGTTTATGGTCAGAGCTTGACCCTGCGAGTCCCAGTTTAAAATTTAAAAAAAGTAGCGATTTTACCTTCATGGTCGTAATAATAAGATCCAAGCTTTTATGAAACTTTATAGCGAGATTGTATAATAGGCTCCGTGTACGTTTCCTGAGTTTCCGCGACTATAATAAATTCCAGTTTCGGTCTAGTGTCAAATGTTTAGGACCATCTTATTGGCACCTCTTCAATCGATGTTTTTGTCAAAGAATAATTTAAAAATACAAGATGAAACTTTGTCCTTTTTATTGTTCTGATTTCTATTTCGGTTTGTGCTTCGCAGTGCTTACTTTATATTATGACGAAACTATAGTCACTTAAGACAACTTAAGACTCATTCCGTTTCGTAGATTGTCAGTGGGTAAAGTGGGAAATCCTTGTCATCACTATTTTAGTGTAAGATGTAACGGTTTGAACATTTCAATTCGCCTCAAGAAACAAAAGGCCCTTTACAACGGGTCAACGAAATGTTCTTGGATTTTTTAACGTTTACTGCAAAAAAAGTAAAAATTAAAACCGCTCTCGTTAGCACTTTTATTATTATTTTAAAAACTTGTTTTCATCCACTCATGACGTTTCTTGCTCAAAAGTATATCTGGCCAGGCTCGCGGTCCTCTGCGCTAATTTTTTCTGTGTGGTGGAAAGGTGGTAGCTCTGAGCTACGTTTGCTTCGAACAGCCCCAACGCCTGATAAATGACGCCTCTGTCGTGCTTTGTTAGATGTTCGTGTGTCATATCTTGCACGTTTAGGTACTTCCATGTTAGATTCTTATCGGGCGTTTCAAACAATCCTGCAACGTATCCCTCCAACAAGATGTCCGCTACCCACGGCACCACCTGTAAAGATACAGCATAATGAAAACATAAATGTATAGTGTGACCAAGGTTTCGATTAAATTGTCAGTTAAGTTTGGCGAAATATTCGTTGTCGCTGATTTGCCTCAAAATTGATTCAACATATGAATATGTACATATAAACTAGTAATACAAATTACGAGTCGCAATGATGTTTTTTGGGCAGTCCTTAAATTTGTATGTTTGTTCCTAGAGGCTAAAGTACGGGTCACACTGCTTATACATCATACAAAAGACGTTATGCAAGCGCGAGGCATCGCAATAACAGTGGATGAAATGCCGTGTTCCCAAGTTTCTCCTTGAACCTATTGCCATACGGCATTCGACGCACGGATCTCGCGGTCACTGGCGTTCAACTCTGTATGCAGACTGTTTTTTGTAACATCATAGTTACGAGCCTCCAGATCATCATGGTTACGAGCACTCTTACTGCGCGTGCGCATTCAGCCCACTAGTTTGTATGAAGCTGGTTTTAAACTTGCTCTGTTTTGTTTTACATTGAGAGCTACGCAATGCTTGATTTTAGATAACCAGAAAGATTCAACTGTCTCCATAAAAATGTACTTAAAGAGATTGTCCGGTAAGCTTTTGTCTTTCAGAAACAATTAAATTATATTGTAATTGCTTTTAGATATATCATGGTCACAGTCGAGTTTTTTATATTCCGCCCCACAAGTACCTCAATTTGAAACAGTGCCCAACTGATCAGATTGAACCCGCAAATCACACAGCGTTTTTTGTTGGCCACAGCGCAAGCTCTGACGTAACATCATACAAAGTAACCCACGACAGCTGTAGACTGCGGTCTCGGTAAAATAACTTCGTACTGAAAAAGACAAGATTTACGGTATTGAGGGAAGCTCAGCTCTCTGACGATGATATTTGTACGCGCCATCAACCATATTGATCTAAAACCAAAAGTAAGTCAACGTCCGTGACTCTGACTTATCCATGCCTGATGTGAAGTCACGACACGACGACAATAAGCCATGCATACTTGCGAAATTTGGCTTGAAATTTCGTATCGATGTTCATAATTGATTTCATAACTGAACTGCTTGGGGTCTTTTAATAAAGTAAATATAACATCTGACTATACTTAGGCCCTCTCTACGCGACCAGCAGAAAAACTTCGTAACTTCCAGATGCAGACTAAACATTGCGGCTCTTATTGCCGGTGTTTTTTATAATAGTGCTTGATAGGGGAAAAAGGTTTTGCCGGTCATTTACCATAAAATGCGAGAATATTTGCTGAAGGTGGCTTCAGTGTGGGGTCTCGATGTGCAAGTAATTATAATAATATTTTTATGTGATCTTATATACCTTTGGGCTGACTTTATCACCGTCATTCCGCAGGAAAGTGGCTCAGAAAAACGGTGTGAGATCTTTGAGTAACTTTCAACCTAAACATTGATACAAGAAAAAATGCCGACTCGTACGCACCACCTGTGCTTCGTTGACGTACCACTTTGCTTCGAGAGTGGCTAGAGGGGGTATTTTTATATCTTGTTTAATCAGTTGTCGCGTGGTGCGTGTTTCGACCTTGGTGGATCCAGAGCTTGTCTTCACTGCTGTCGAAAATTCAGTAGAGAACTGATAAATTAGTGGCACGTTTATACTGAACTTGGCTTTAGCGGTTAAATCTGCTCCCCTGGTGACGGACCACGAGTACTCGTCTTCGTGGTCTATCTGCTCCGATATGTACGCCTTACCCTCTTCGTCAGACTGGTTGTTGTGAAATATCTGTACGTATACAGCAGACAGCTTTAGAGACTTTACTTTGGCCGCGTGGTAGACCACCGGGCCGACTTCGAACTTGACTGGTGGGTACCTGCATCGAAAAACTGTAACGTTATGCTGCGCTCACTCCGCGTACAAAAGACCGTCGGCCGGCATTATCTAAGGCCTCTTTTTTTGTAAGGCGGTACTGTGACACGGGCCCTAAACAAACTGTTGGCAGACATGTTCACATATGTACGAAACAGACATTCTTCGAGCATTCTTGAGGCGAGCCCACAGATAATTCTGTGGGCACGCCTGACGACCACATGGGGAGCTTGGCGTTACTTCCCCACGATCCAGTTACTTTAGGAGTTTCTACTCTGGTGCTCGAAGCTGGTGCATTCATAATTTGAGAGTATGATTACATGAAAACTCCATAGTCAAAAGAAAAAAATGAAAACTTGTTTTGTTGGTGGAAATATTATCGCTAACCCCTTGTATCTCACAATCATCGGAAAAAACGTTGTGGGCTATTCTGGCGTTTACTAGGATTGAAAACAAATTGTGAATAGGAAAGGAAATATAATTGGCTTACCTATTCTTCACTTCATGTGGCCCAAATAAGCGCCACAGTAACACTTAACATTTTGTAGTGTACATGCTAACTATAAGGAAACACACAGTTTGTGATTTTTCTTGCTTTACTCAGGTAAGCCAATTTGACTATAATTTTAGCGAAAGCCTCCACCAACTACAGACACCTCTGTAGTAGATCTCGACGCGATAATTTAAGAAACCGAATTATGCTGTCAGTTTAAATACGTTCAATTCATTTCGCCAACGCTGTATATCTATCAATACGTTTTTTTATAGCGTTCCAGAAATACTTTGCATTTTTTGTGCACGCTAACTATAAAAAAAATGAAAAACACCAAATATTGAAGGCAAACAGAGTCCAGGAATTCGACGAACCTCTACAACACACAGAAGAAAGAGCAGCAGCAAACAAAGACGACACGAAAGGTGGAAAAGTTAATAATACCAAGTTAAGCAAGCAAAAACTATGAGGTTTGTGGAAACTCTTTTCTCAGCACTTCGCACGGAACACAGACCGCTGTTCGGGCATGTACAGGTTAGTGAGATCAAGGAACTAAATACCATTACCCGTTATTTACTAAAATAGTAACCAAGTACGTTACCCGATTCAGTGATTCAAAAGGAACGCGTGTCCCCTGACTTGAAAGTAACGAATCATTTTCTCGTTACTCTTAATGTGTCCTTTTTATGAGGCTGCAGCCGCTTCCAATACTTGTCGCCGTTGATAAATGCTCACCTTATAACGCGTTCGTGCAGGAATCACTTTGGCTATGGAGACATGCCTTGTGCAGATCTCTTTCAAAGTCTAGCGTTTCCTGGTTGCACTAATCACAGGTGCGGGCTGGGGCTAGAACTGCCTAGAGTACTCTTGTTGTGCGCGCTCCCTTTCAGAAGCAACCTTTTACGAGTTACTCCACCGCAAAATAACAGAAACACGTTGTATGTTTCTTTTTTTTAGACTACTTCGTTACTTCGTTACCGAAAAAAACATGTATCTAGATACTTTTTTTCTAAGGTAATTTGGGGCGGGGTGCGTTATCGTCTACCCGAAAAGGAGGAGAAAGGAGTGCCTAGAGGGGCTTTTCTCGTGGCCGAGCTCGGGGGAAATCGCCGGCGTGCACGTTTCACGGGTCCACGTGTCCTTTTTCTGCCTGCACTCGGGATGCGTGCGAAGAGCCTAATGAAAATAATTTTCTGTTCCAATATGGCGAAATCCTGGCTTTGAATGGTGGATTAAGCGAGCTTTTAAATTGTTGACAAAAGTCAACAAACTCAAGTCGCGAAAGCTTCACGCGTGATCGCCGAGAAACCGCCAACCCTCGCTTCTGGGTGCGCCTGAACGGGAGTTCGCTGGCCGACCACATCCGCAAACCCACAAAAGACGCCGAGCACCGTGATGATGCACTTTTTGCCGATCCTTAATTGGCCCCTTCGGATCGTTGGCGTTGGCTGCAGTCGCGTCATCGTGCATCTTGAATTGACTAAAAAAAAGATTTCCTCTTCAAGGTAAATCATTGACCTCTGCAAAAGTCGCCTCCTAAGCGCTGCCATCCTTGTCTGCTCTGCTGTGGAACGCCTTCTAAGCATGCGCTGTTTCTCTGCTGCGCGGTCTACCAGACGCTACGTCATGCCTGCAGAGCTCAGTGACTTCGCCTTTTTCGCACGTGTGATGAGCGATGCAAGGGTCCATACACGGATAAAAACAGGGGAAAAATAGGAGACGAAAGCGCGATAGGGGGGAAGAGGGGACAAAAGGGCGCGGGGACATCAGAACGGCGAAAGCTCTGATTGGAAAGACTAGTGGGTAGGCGCGAAGCTAGCCGCCTTTGTCTCCACTGCGCTCGTAGAACGCGTTAGAAAGCGGAAAGTCAGCGTCCGGCGTTCCCTTTTGAACGCGTCCGACGATTACGGTGGAGACAGAAGCATCTGGCCTAGCGTCCACTTTAAGAGAAATCTGGCCGTAAAAATATAGCGGTGGCTTCGCTCGGCTACACCAGCATATGCGTAGCGTGAGCTTATGCACACAAAATGAGAGGCCCGCTATGGTGCAGTGTCAGACTTGACTACTGCGCAACGGAGGCGGACAGCTGGGCACGCGGCGGCGCCTGTGCGTGTGCCGCGGCTATGACGTCACTCCTCTGAAATGTGCAGACCGGCGAGGCGCGCGCGGTGGCGGCAGAGCGCGCGGCGGCGGCGGCGGTGGCGGCGACGTCTTTTGCGCCCCAGCTGTGCGCCATGTGACGTCACTGCTCCTCGCGCTTGCGCAGCACGAGGCACAGCTCATTAGGCGAGCCACGCGAAACTGCTCAACCTCGGCCAGTCTAGCTCACCCAAAACAAAAAATCCTTTAGGGTTCCTTCGGCTTGCCCATATTTTGCACCATAAAAATTTAATTTAGGCACCTCCTTAAGGGGTTTTCTTTCAAAACCTATGTGTTTTCCTAAGCTCCTTTTCTGATGCGAAAGAGCCCTTCATCCCCAAGTTGCATTTCTAGTGTTCCAGAGGCGATAGTGCTTGACCCCAAACTGGTGTTTACGAACTAACAGAGTTCTTGGAGTGTCCAAAACCCTTTTTTTAAGAACGTAATATTTTTTTAGTGTGTACTTACAAATAGTTTTAGCTCGGTGTTCTGACGTGCTCGCGTGCTCTGGTCTTTTCCTCTCCCTCGGTTTCGGCCCACATGGTCGCTGACAGCTTAAAGCCTGACTTCTGAAGTTCTGATTGGTCCTTCGGCATTCTCTTTGGTGCGATGTCGCGATCTTATTGGCTGACGCGGGATAATGAGATCTGCGGGATTCGCAATGCTTTGCGTGCATTAAAGGGTGACTGGGCGACTCAGGTCAGTATTTTTGAATGTGGGATTGCGACAGTTTTCAGCTAAAGCAATGTCCCTCAAATATAAGCTTAATTTTTTTTTGTCGATAATATGTGTAGTTTTATAAGTATCACGGCTCAAAGTTTCTTTTCGGGCGTCTACGGTACAATCAAAACTATCTGCTAGAGGGATGGCAACACTGATAATCAGCCGTACGGTTGGTGATCAGTTTTGCCGTACCCGAAATCCGAGCCCGAAAGCTTTCATTTAGATATCTACAGACTGGTGAGCAGACTTCTTCAGTAGAAAAAAGAGGAAAAAAGACAGAAAGAGAAATGTGAGACGTATAAGAATGCACAAAAAATCAGCTCTAACATTATAGAGGACACAAAAACAGGAGATAAGGAAGTAAAATGTGTTTGACAATTGACAGGGAAATTATTTAATGTTTCAGGCGAGAACCAGAGTTTCAAAGACAATAACGTATAGGGCTGAATTTCAGGAGACAGACACATTATATGATGCCTGCCATAATGAGAGTGAGACACTAGAGCGCTTGGTTTTGAAGTGCACGGGGCTAGGCCCTGCCCTCCTTCAAGGCGTAACGGATTTGGACGGGGCCCTGGGGTTTGCTGGTGACGATGGAAGGACGGAAGAGAAAATAATTACAGTCACAAAGAGGCGATTAGAATAATGGTAGAAATTATCTAGGGAAAACTGAATGATGCAGATCTAACTACCACTGCTGGGGACAGGCGAGACAGGAAAATTCGAACTCCGCCCCGTGTGGCTCCGGCCCAAAGTCTCAACCTTGTCCTCCAGTGCGTTCGGTGCTGGGGTAATGCCAACAAGGTATGATCAGAGAAAAAGTGGCAACTCCTTCACCAAGGAAAGGAGGCGGGTGTGATGTTTTTAGTTTTTCGCCCTATTCCCCGAAGGTAATCCTGGTGATATCCCACACTGCCTGGTGGTAGTTACGAGGAAAAGATTGGCTTAGAAGGGCTGGAGGAATCATATCGTTGTCTATTTATACTCAGACTAGGTGGCGCAAGCTACCGCCCGTTACAAAAGGTATACCCATTAACGTCTATCCATCCATCCGGCCGCGACGTGACGTCAAAAGAAAACTGCGGTGCGCGGTACAACGGGCACAACCAAGCGACCGCATCTCTACTGCGACATGACGTCACAAAGGTGCTGCGCCAGTGTTCCTTGAATTAAAGCTAACGCGCTTGATGCCCGTTAAAGACTAGCTGGTCGCGTCTCTAAAATAGGGTTTCGTAGGGTGCGTGGCTTCACTTTAAGGTAATATTTCGGCTGTAATCATATTCCTTGCTACTCAAGCGATACCAGTCAGTTATTTTGCTTTCGTTTTCGACCAGAGTTATCCTTTGAGCCGTCGACACACTGCTTATACTTCACACAAAAGGCAGTCTGCATACTGATTCAAACGCGAGTCATCGCAAGATCCGTGAGTCGAACGCCGCATGGCAATGAGTTCGAGGATAAAACTTGGTACGCGGCATTCGAACTACGGTTATTGCTATGACTCGGGTTTTGCAGACTGTCTCTTGTATAACCTGTGACCTCGGTTTTAGTCTGTAAATTACCGTAATAATTTCTAGGATATCTTTTGGATTCACATATTGCAAGGACCGTCGAAATGAGCCGAGAGCGTCCTTAGGTAACCCACGCAATACATTCTAAAAAAAAAACTTCCATTCTAGAAAGGTCCTTCAACGCCCCAAGAACTCTTTCAGCTCGTGGTGAAAGTTTCGCCTCAATCACTATCGTGTCCTGGGGCGCCGGAGAGGCAACTGAGCGACGAAAAACTCTTTTGTATCAAAAAAGGAGCTTAAGAACCCGTTATAGGTTTCTCAGAAATAAGTCTTTTAGGGGGTTCTTAAGATACCGTTTAGGGTGCCAAATATAGACCAGCCAAAAAATGCCTAAGAGTTATTTTATGACTAGATTTTTGTAGAGTGTAGAGCCACATTTTAAATTTAGGGTTTGGTCTCCTGTTTTGTAATACTGAATTGTTATAAATGTAGAATTTTGCACAAAAACAACAACAAAAAATTACCGGTTTATTAAAAAAATGGCGAGCAAACGACGCAAATCTTAAGAATTCGAGCAGTTGTGCTTTCTCTCGGGGTATCCAAGCCTTGTCTCTTGCGTAGATTTTCTAACATCAACGATGTCGCCAGCGGTGAGCGTTTTCACTGTAATGCACCTTAATAAAGTGACAACATGTCTACTGACAAATGTAAAGAATTAATGACTTCTTTTTTGCCTAATTCGCTTATTGCTTTTTGGCAGTACGTGCACGGATAAGCAGATGACACGGTACGAACAAATACGCGTACCAGAATATTCGAAACACATTTTTAGTACTCATAGATACCGATCGGTGCTTTGGCATTGAAACTTGTTACACCAGTACTTTCAATTTATAACGGCCTTAGTTTTCTTTTTTATTTATATTTTCGGGACAAAGAGTAGCATAACATACTTTTCGAGGTTTTCATGGGGACCTCGGGTTTTGTTATCTCCAGTGACGTCAAAAGTTACCAGCCTTTCGTCGTAAGAGCAATTTCGCAAGAGGATTTCGTACATAACATCATCGAGGTCAAGTAGGTTGCCGCTGCCTAGAAGAAAGTGTGTATAGATATATATATATATATATTAAACAATTAGATATACCGCCCAAAGATTGTAAAAATGGTAAATACACGGAAAGTACTATATTCGAGAAAAAAAATGGTATGATAGGTAGATTAGGGTTTGAAGTTGATAGGAGGCGCCATTACTCCTAAAGCCACGGTCGCACTGTTTAAACATGAAAACAGTGTGCGGACACTCTTGGAGGTGTGTTTGTTCCTGACACGATGGTGCTCTCACATTGATAATATAAAAACACTGTCTGCAGACATCTTCAAAATACACATACGTGTGATGAAAACATGCATCCAGCCTGCTTTAGGTGTGTTCGCAAATAATTCGGTCAACATGTCCGCAGAAAGCATCGTGTCTTTTGTTTTAACGCAATCGCTTGTAGGAGCTTGTATCGCAGAAAAACGGGCGTCGGCGTTGGTGGGACGGGAAAAAACCTGACTGGTCATTAAATAATCTATTTGCCTTAAAGAAAAAATAATTCAGTCGTTCAGGCGGATTGGGATTAAACCCATGACCCTTTCGATGCGAGCCAGACTCGCTACCCACTAGGCCACGTAGACACTTTTTTTTTTTCCTTTATTTAAAAAACGTTTTTATTTACAGAGTTAAAAGCTGGCCTTCTTGGCCATTGCCGAAGCCACACATCTATAGAAACCCACCCAATCAAATTTTCATAGGATCAGTTGAGCATTATACAATTTCTATTTATGAACTTGTCTCTTTTCACCATGTAGTTTTTTAAATGTGCTTGCATAACGGACCACTGCTCGAAGCCGGGCATGCACGTTTGCTCTAACAGGTTACTAGTGTAGGAAAAGCCTTCGACAAAATGGCTCCAAGCAGGCTTGCCTTTTTCTTCAACGAGCGTGTGATCCGTACGGGATCTCCAAATCGCATGCATCCCGAGCAGAAATAACACTTCTACGCACTTTTGGTTTACACCAGCTGCAACACGGAGAAATTTTAGTGTGCCCCAATCCGGCTGGGCCTCATCAAGGTTAAGTGCATGACTGAGTTCCGACCAGAATATTTCAGCATTTGTGCAGTACAGGAATACATGGTGCAAAGTCTCCTTGAAAGGACATAAAGCACAATTGACAGACCCCGCCAAAAGAAACCCTTTGTTCTCGAGCCACGTCTTAACAGGCAACACTTCTGTATGAAATTTTACGAAGAAGTCTTTTATGCATGTTTTTACCGGGTATTTACGCAGTTTTTTAAACACTGTAGACCCTTCTACGCTTTCCGGCGGAGAGCGATACATTGGTGGCGGTATTACCAGGTCGATAGTGTCCCAATACAGCTTTTTCCTATTCGCCTGGATTAAGTAGTCCCAAAAAAAAACGTGATTGAAAAAAAGAAATGGCGTCTTCAATCTCTTTGTAAAACCTAAGTACGGGAGCCCTTCTGGAGGCTTCTTCCGTACTAACTTGCCAGGCCGACAGGTATCGTCCCCCTAGGCACTTTAAGGATCTCGCACTAGGCCACGTAGACACTTTTCTTTCGTCGTTGTTACATGCAAAGTTAGGTAAAAAATTCAGGTTACAAGATTAAAAAGATGAAAAGATGATTATGTACAGAGTGATGGATCTGAGGTGAAAAGTTGAGAAGAATGTCTGCCTAAACCGCAGTCCCATAGCAGTCTTTCACTCCCGGCACGTCTCAGACATAAACAAATGCAACGTTTCTAAGCAGGCTGTTACCTGAAAAGTCAACAAATCTTAAACACGTACTAAATAGAGGAAACCACTCAGGTTTTGGTGGGTGAGCTGCGTAAACACTTCTTAATTTCAAAATTCCTTCTAGAAAAATTGATATGGTGGTACATGGTGTGTCGGCGTTCCTGTAAATTATCCAGCATCTCCAGATGCCCTAGAGACCTACCAGCATAAATGTATCATAGGGAATGTTTGTCTCACTAGGTACGTATAAAAAACGAATACTACGGTTGGTAAAGTATTTTTTTAGAGCTCGTTAAAAGACACGCCAAAAAAAACATGATCTGCAGATTAGATTTTTTTATTTATTTATTTATACTACCGGCCGCCGTGGGGAGGCCAAGGTAGGAGCGATACATGGATCAAGTTTTACGAAAAAAGCAAAAAAACAATGAAGCAGAGTTCATTGTTTTTTTTTTCGCTGAAGCTTTTATCACACAGAAGAACGATCCTTGACTTGGTATTCCTGCATAAGATCATTAATGGTGCCATTGATTCTTCATGGCTTATTAGTAAAATCCATTTCCATGTTCCTTTCCGTGCGACGAGACAGCTCACCTGTTTTGATATTTGCTCACCATGCCGTGTGTCACCTCTTTCTCGTTTACAGACATTGTATAACAGCATTGTGCCACCTCAAGTTGACATCACCACACCCCTGCCTACATTTCGCTGTCAGTTGGACGAACTTTTCGTCACTTCATAGCGCGTCAGTGTATATGCATATCTATTTCTTTTTAATGAGTAGGATTTTTGTTTAAGAGTTTTTATTGTACGAGTTGGTGTACCTAAGAGAAGGCCGCTCGGCCGTTTTAGGGCACCCGAAAAATAAAGATTATTATTATTATTATTGTTTCCGATTGGTGCCATAATGGACAGTCAATTGACCACGGTACAAAAGACCCAAGTTCTTGGAGCCACGATTTTACTGGAAGCGTTGATGTCTGTAACTTAAAGAAAAATCTTTTAGCACTTGGAGATATGCACATTCTCTTTACTCGTTTTTAGGTATTGTCCTTTATAGTCGCTCAACCGTGTCCTGCGATAGCAGACTAGGAAAGCGACTTTCTATCAAGAGTCGTGATAGCCGTTTTCTTGGCACTTCAAATAGGTATTCTAATAAGAGGCGGACTTTTATAAACATAAAGGTATCGACTACCTCTTTCCAAAAGCCTCAGAGTTTTTTTCGGGTAGAATTTCTTGTCCAAATGCCCAAGAAGGGCATGTGATGTGACAGTCTTTTGAAAGCAGATAAGAATGGGATAAATTCCTAAAATATAGTCTCGAAATGAGTTGGCGGACTATTAAATGAGCCAGACCTAAGCCACCAGCTTCCAATGGAATGAATAAGTTATCGCGTTTCATCCGTTTCCTAGAAAGGCTTAAGGTACTGGTCGCAAATGTTCTGTGGAAGGCTTGTACCTTTGGACAGTCAAAATGTCATTACCTTTAAGGCATACATTATCTTAGATATTAAAAAAAAGAAGAAGAAATGTTGTAAACTGCTGCATTTGCGAAGATTGAAAGCTCTAGTGCCCTTCATGCAAATCATTTCTGCCTAATCTCAGTTACAACGGAATTCAAATATAGATTTTTGGATCCTTTCTGATGTAGAGGAGGGGTCTCCAAACGTTTTGGCTAAGGGGCCGGATTGGGGTGTTGGTCGCAGTTTCGAGGGACGGAATAGAAGTATGAAAATTTAAAATATAAAAAAAAACTATTTGTTCTCGTCTTTTCTGCTATCTTCATGTGTGCGTTTGGTGCGCGTCGCGGTGCGATTTGTTAACTCGAGCTTATTTTTGCGTCGGTAGCAGCAGGCTGTCTGGTAGCGGGCTGCGGGAAGGGCGTCACTGGAAAGACCGCGGCAAGCCGCGGGCAGGTCGACAGATGCTTGATCTAAAGGAACGCCTATATATTTGAAAGGAAAGCAATTCCATGATAACTCAGCAAAATAAGCACCCATCCAGAAGCCGTGAGATTTTCCTGTGTTCATCCTTGCTCCAGTTAGGTTGCAATACTCCTGTTATTTGAAAGCCTTTTTCCACACTTTTCATATTCGAACAGAACAGCGCCACGTCATCAGTACGTACCAGTAACTTTAGCTCTTGGAACCGAAGGGTATAACTTTGGATATTATCAGTGGTAATAACGCGCAGGCAGGGAGGTTCGAGGAAAAAACAAAAAAATAAGTGTTAATATTGGGCATGTTTGCCTTACTGAATATTTGATAAGAACAGATACAGAAAGGAAGTTCTTTAAAATTAGCCTTGTGCTGCTGTTCTTGTAACAAAGCTGGATGCGTTCGAATAGCGTGGTTCATGCGTTTGCATGAAAGAGCATTTTGAGTAAGAAAGAATGAGTTACTCCATCGAACGCTTTGGACACGTCAAGTGAAGCTATTGCCACTTGATCTTGCTCACCGGATACAGTTTATCACAAATCTTGCTACGTGTACGCTCGTTTGAATGTTTCGTTCTTGTGTACCACAAGTATGGTGATCTCCGATTAGATTATAAATTACGAGGTGTAAGCGTTCGTTTTAAAACTTCTGCGTATATAGTTCCCAGTACAAAGAGATATAGGTCGATAAGCTTCAACCTTTATTAAAGCTATTCTGTCTTCTGTTTTAGGAATTAGTACAATGTGACCACAATAAAACGTTAGCTGTAGTGTTTTAAGTTGTAATAGACTCAACATACCAGAAAATAGTTTGTAGAGTTTAGCGCTTAGGCCATTAGGTTCAGCTGTCTTGTTTGAAGGAAGAGCTTTTATGAAATTTTGAATTTCCTGCAATGTTAGAGGGCCCTCGACTATTTCTTTTTCGTCATCTCATAAGAAAGACAAGAGATATACAAGGTGTTTCATATCTGAATTTTTGTTTTTCAATTGGGATGCCTTTTTCTAAATGGTTAGTGTAATAATTCTCAAAGGCTTCTGAAAAAAGTGAAAGCCGTTTACAATTCCCTGTAACGCCGAATTCGAGCGCAGCTCTTGAGAAGGAGGAGGGAAGGGTACTGAGGGGGGGGGGGGGTCGCGTGACCTTGGGGGGTTGTGAGACCTCGGGGACGGGGTCACGTTACCTCAGGGGGGGGGGGGGGGGGGAGGGGGCTCGCGGTTACGCCGACGGCGACAGCGACGCCGACGCCGCTCAAGCCGGAAACGGGCGCCTAAGAGCTGCGCTCTAATATTTGGCGTATCCATTCTGGTACTACCGTAATGTTCAATCTCAACTACTTCTTTTTTGTTACAGCATA